GGAGGGGACCGGTGGAAATTGTGCGGGTTGCACGACCCCAGAGTATACAAATTAAATGGGGAAAACGCCGTTGGTACGTGCACCCCTCCCGACTGAAACCCTACGCGGCGCCGCGTGACCCCGGGTTGTGCCGTGACGACCGAGCGTGTGATGTGACCGTCGACTCGGGGAGGGATGTGTCGCAGGCTGATCCTCACGTGTCTCCACCTGACCCACCCCCAGGTGTCTCGGACCTGACGGCTGTTGACCGTCGGGAACCGGAACCCCGCGGCTCGCGCGGAGCCCTGATGCCTGGCCCATGCCTTCCTGAACTGCCGGCGCCGCCGGATGGCCAACTGCGTCCTGTGCCGTACGACGGTCCGGCAAGGCGGACTCGGGCAAGGACGCAACACTTTTCATGAAAAAAAAAAAAGAAATTTTTTTTTTCTTTTTTTGTTAAAGCCCGACTTCGTTGCCGGCTTCCCCCTCTGCCGGGGTAATGTCCCGTTCAAGGGACGCTCGGACATTGGGACGCTGCATGAGTCGGAGAGAAAAGAAGAGAAAATGATTAAATAAATTTTTTTTTATTGTTACTCTTTCCGCATACACAGTATCGTTGCCACTCGCCGGATTGTGCATGTTGTTCTTGTTGCGGGTGTGGCGGTTGCTGGGTTTTGCGGATTGCGGTGTTCATGTTGTGTTGTTAGGGTTTGTGTTATGTTACGGGGCACACATGGGAGTGAAGGGGTGTTGTATGTTTTATTAGCAGCCGGGTCGGCTGCGAGCTATGTGGTAGGGGGTGATGTAGTGGTGGTATTGACGTGCGCCGGCAGTGATGGATCACGGGGCGCGGGGTTGGGCACGCGATGTGGGCGTGGCATGGACGCGCGCGCCGGTGGTGAGGCGCGCTCACACAAGCTGGGAAAAGAGGATCGTAGCGAGTGCGCAGTGATTGGTCAGATAAGTGGGTACTCTCAGCGACGTCCGCAGGAGGGGTATAAAGGGGGACGCGCGAGAGCACTCGTGGTCAGTGTTAACCAGTTGAAGACCGAAGACGGGGTGGAGGAGGTAGGGGCCCGAGACCCCTAGTCCCGCCGTCCTTGTGGGGACCGGGGCCCTGTGTGGCTCGGAGCCGAGACTGGGGGGACCGTAGTCCGACGCCCGTGTGGGTCGGGACGGTGGTACCCAGAGCCGAGACGGGCACCCCGGCTGGGTGTGTCCCGGAAGGCTACGGGGCGTAAGAGCCCGTGTCAGTACAGCTGAGTGGGTGTTGGTCACCCGTGTAGCTGAGTGGGTGTTAGTCACCCGTGTAGCTGAGTGGGTGTTGGTCACCCGTGTAGCTGAGTGGGTGTTAGTCACCCGTGTAGCTGAGTGGGTGTTGGTCACCCGTGTAGCTGAGTGGGTGTTAGTCACCCGTGTAGCTGAGTGGGTGTTGGTCACCCGTGTAGCTGAGTGGGTGTTGGTCACCCGTGTAGCTAAGTGGGTGTTGGTCACCCGTGTAACGAAGTTGTAGCTGAGTGGGTGTCCGTCACCCGTGTAGCTAAGTGGGTGTTGGTCACCCGTGTAACGGAGTAGGGTGTTAGTCATCCGTGTAACTACAAGTTGGTGAAAATAAAGAGTGTGCTACCCGTGAAGTCGTCTCCTGCCGAGTTACTACTTTACACATGCATAATAATCTTAATTCTAAGAACTGTATCCTGCGGCGAGATCTGAATCTTGAGACCGGAAGCAATTAGACTAAAATCATAACCAATAAAAGTTAAAGCGAGAATCATTGTATGATCACGACTGGTAATACACCCCTAGACAACGAAGCCGAGCATCACATCACACACACACATCAATCACAGATAACCACACACAGAATACACCCCTAGACAACGAAGCCGTGCATCACATCACACACACACACATCAATCACAGATAACCACACAGAATACACCCCTAGACAACGAAACCGAGCATCACATCACACACACACATCAATCACAGATAACCGAACACAGAATACACGCCGAGACAACGAAGCCGAGCATCACATCACACACACACATCAATCACAGATAACCACACACAGAATACACCCCGAGACAACGAAGCCGTGCATCACATCACACACACACATCAATCACAGATAACCACACACAGAATACACCCCTAGACAACGAAGCCGAGCATCACATCACACACACACATCAATCACAGATAACCACACACAGAATACATCCCTAGACAACGAAGCCGAGCATCACATCTCACACACACACACACATCAATCACAGATAACCACACACAGAATAAACCCCTAGACAACGAAGCCGAGCCAAGAATAATAATACACGTAACTACACGCACACCTATTGATGATAATACAAACTAACACCCCCACGTTCATAATACTCCTACACACACATAGATCATATACATACATTTCCACGTAATACTTTATACACATTTAATCACACATACGATTGATAATATTACACTTACACTCAATTAACATGAAAACATACACATACGTTGAATTATTGTATTAATGTTTACCTAATTTGCATAATTATATACATTTGCATAATTTAATACATTTGCATATTTTCATAAAATAGCTTATTTTACATTTATATATTTTTTCAAAACACATTACATACAACAACGGGCACTCGGCCAAATCATGCAGACACCTCATCATCAAAGCCCTCATCACCATCATCACTGGCACCCCACTCGATCGCGGCAATCCTGTGCAACACCACAGGACAAAATTAGCCAACATCTAAAACTAAATGGAAATGGTTAGCGAGAAGGGTTGTAGCAGCAGCCAAAAGGATGTCCGTGTTAGCAGGAGCGGTAGGAGCAAATCTTGTTAGGGTGTTAGTGGAAACAGGAGCCTCGGTCAGCATCATATCTACTCTCGTGTTTGAAATGTTTCCATCGGCAGGTCGTCGCTTCGAGCTGGTGTACAACAAATTTGTCGCAGCAAACGGCGATAGCTTGGGAATCATTGGCAAAGTAAAAACAGGGTTGTATCGTGACACCGTCAGGAGAGCGAATGCTTTTTTGTGACCAGACACAGAAACCAGCACAGGGAAAAACGTGTGTGCCTGTACAAATGGAGCAGCTCGATGTAAACCAGGACTCCCTGAATCACCAGGACGAGTGACGCCGATAAATGCAACAATCGATAACGAGAACAAGCCGCTCACAGATCATGATCACGGGCTGATACAGACCGAATGGATCCGCTTACAAAAGGAGGACGACTCACTGGAGTCCCTTGCCGCACAGGTGGCCGAATCAGCCAAGGATATACAGCCAGGAGCGCCATTTGCAAAATGGCGAGTATTGTTGATGAAATGGGACCCTAAACTGCAGCGTTGCTGCGTGATGGAACATCCACGGATAGAACTTCACGACGAGCCGCTACCACCCGAAATATGGCTTGGCCATTTTTGTGAAGAACCCGATCGCAGAGTTATACTGTATGCCTTCCCACCAACTGCAAGAGAAGCCACTTACACCATTAGTACCAAGATAGGGGAGCTGCACATCACCCACGTGTACAAAGTCCCTATTTCAAAATGGCCAAAGCCAGCGCTCCCAAATGCACCAATCCAGTGGCGGCTCCTGCAAAATCTCTCAGGGGGGCCAATGTCTGGATGATTGATAAGGATAAGGTCCACCCATGCAATGGATAAATTAACAGCTTAAGCATGTAAAGGCAACTTCACTTCTTTAATATTAATGAAAAATAAAGTTACTCTTACAATACATCTTGTTTGTTTCTATACTCACTATTAAAAGAAACCACTCAAGTTTATTTTATTAAAGATTCCACTAGGTGGCGATAAATTATACTGTTGGATGAAACGTGCTTACGTATGATGACGTTAGCACGTATGATGACGTAAGCACGTTAGTGCATGCCCTCCCGGAAGCCATAGAGAATGCATTGGAGCGCCCCCGTTCGAAAAAAAAACATCTTTGAATGTAAGTCTATGGGGCCACTCGGGGCGATTCTCAGCCGGAGTGAAATAGCCCAAAAAGAGGCAGTACTCCACAGAACGTGACATGACGCTGATTGGACTATATCCAGAGGCACAGTGACGGCTAGCGTGACTCTGTGGTTCAATGACATTGGTGGTGCGTCGCCCAATCGCCCTAATGAAGAAACCGCCCCTGCACCAATCCCAGCCCCTTACGTTGGCGATTTTAACAGCCACCATACTATGTGGGGCTATACGAAGACCTCACCGACTGAATGGCCGCCGAAGATCTGCACCTGGTTTATGATCCTAAGCAGCGAGCCACTTTACACTCGCCTAGCGAGCAACGCGATTGCAACACGGACCTCACCGTCGTTTCCGAAGATCAAAGCGGGAGCACACATTTATGTAAATACTTGCAAGCTTACAATGTTGAGTCCATAGGAAGTGTCGAGTCTATGGATAGTGTTGAATCTATCGACAGTGCTGCTCAACGTGCAGGGGAAGTTGATTACAGAGGAGGGGTGCAAAAAAGGAGAAGGAGCAGAATCGGAATTGGGCACAGGGAGGAAGGACACACAAAGAGAGATAATATTTGGAACGAAGAGGAGGAGAGAAGGAAACGTGGAAGGAGATGAGAGGCGAGATGATGATGTGGGGCAAGAATCATGTTCCCTCCGTCACTCCCTCCCACCTTTTTTTCGATCAGAAGAAACAAAATAATTGTTTGGTGAATCGGCACTTTGCTTCATTCATCATGTCGCTTTTTGTTGTTTTGTTGTACATTTTTGCCTTTTTGTGGCCTCTTTTTTACACCACAAATCGAGCATATTTGCACATTTTCCCATGTAACATGTAACGCCACACTCCCCTCAGTGAGCATCCACTGTGAAGTAATAAGCCTGCAAAGCAATCCCCCCTCCCTCCCTCTCTCCAGACCCTTTCCACGTAACCTCAGAAGAGGAACTAAATAGCCGTACGGGGGTGCCCCCCCAATGATTCGAACCGCTATTAAAGAGCTCGCACCAACGGGAAGCGGTCCATCATAATCCCTCTTGGTGGCTCGCCATCACCATCATTAGCAGAATAAGTAGCAGCATCATCATCACGATCACCACCATGATCACCACGGCAAAACAGCGCCACCAGCCCGGGGTGCACCCGCACCGAAATAGCTTTTGGGAGTCTGTAGCAAAAAGCATTCCTCTAAGTAACGGCTTGGCCGCTCTGCTCATCACCGGACTCCAAGAGCTCTTCAACCACATCACCGACTGCCCCTGCAACTTTGGCGTGGCGTTCGGCTGGCTCACGCTCCTGGGCCCCGTCGTCATCATGGTCGTGTCCCTCGCCACCCCCGTCTGGAAGGCGTGCGGAGCTCAGCGGGACCACGCCGCGGGGACGCGTCTCGCGCGCTACGTCGTGCTCACGTTCGTGGCCTCCGTGGTGTGGCTCTGCGTGGCGCTGCTGAACTCCAAAGCCGTGTGCTGCATCCGAGGCGGCTACCCCGGAGACTCGCCGTGTCTCCACAGCATAGCAAACTACGAGAAGGGCATACCTGGCGTGGTGCAAAACGAGGAGTGCATTTCCGACTCTCGGGTACGGTGAACCTCAACGCACCTCCTCCATTCCTATCATTGACTCCCCGCTCCAACTGAGATATCACTGCAGTGTCTGTGCATCAACCTGCGTGCTTGTTTGTGTGCGTGCATCACCTCTGTCTGTCCACGTGTACCTCTCTGTCTATCCGTGCTGTCTGTGCGCCATGAGGGATGGGCCACCATGACCCTCATGCTTGTGCGGTGGTGGAGAAGTGAATTCACGGTTTGTGATCTCGGCCTGGTTGTCCCACAGCTCGCTGGAGTGATCGTGATGATGGTGGGAGGAGCCACCTCCGCCATCATCCTTGGGGTCGTTCACGTCAAATACGGACGTCTAGGAGACAACGGGAATGGAGACTGGACCTTAGAGACACTGAATCAATCGAGGAATCAGGGACATCACAGCGAGCACTGAGGGTTTGTCACGGTACGTTTGGAGCTCTGCAGTGGCGAGATGTCATCTTGCTCGCATGGTATGAAGGATGTCGTGGGTTCGATCCCGACCCTGACGCCTGCTGCATATTTGAAGTTTGCATCTCTCTCCCCGTGGTCGCGTTACTTTTTTCTCCGGATCTCCGGTTTTTTCCTCCACATTTAGAAACATGCGTTTAGAGTATTTGACTGATATAAATTTACACGTGGAAAGCCACTTCGAAGAGCTATTATTGAAGACCACGTTGCTTCTGAAAAAATAGCGAAAATCTCAGTGGACCTGGTAAATACATAGTTTAGTTTTAACTTTTAAAAATTCATGGCGGATGTTCTTATCAGCCCTTTGACCCACAAACCTCCTCCGCTGAATACACAGCAGTGAGTTATTGTAATCAGCAATGTAGTGGTTAAACGGGTGAGTAGGTCGGTGGCTGGGTGAGTTTGTAGGTAGTCGGGTGGCTTAGGTTGTGGTCTGCGGTTTTTCTGCTGAGTTTTGTTTGGCACGACATCCAAAATATTCTCCGCGTACTGGAAACTTCTTACGGGACTGGGTTGAGCTATTTACTCTGTCCCTCGATGATGTTGGCGATGATCATTTGTTGCAGACTGCTTGGCTCGGCAAAACATCGGCGGTGGCCGAGCTACGGAAGAATGAAACGCAAGTGCAGGCCAATAGGATGCACACAGAGTATCGGGTACCGCAGGTGAAACAAATTGTGGTGATAAATTCCTTGATAAGAAGCAAAAATTGGTAATATATAAGATGAGTTTTTAAATACTGAAATCAACAACAAAATATTACAACACATTGCCAAACCAAATCTAACAAAATGCCAAGGAACAACCCAACAAACTAAAATCCCACAACTCAACAACCTTAAAATGAAGAAGATAATGAATAAATAAAAAAATACACATTGAACAAGATGATGAAAATGAAAATAAAACCAACTTGAAGTGTACGAGATTGTGTGACGCTGTTATTGTGCGTATGGGGAGGGGAGGGGTCAGCGGGGGTGGGGGAAGAGGTGGGGGGAGGAGGGCAAGGTGGAGAAGGTGGGGAAGGCAGAGGAGGAGGGGGAGGAAGTGAAATTGGTGCTGCCCAGCTCCTGGTATCCCACTTCCCGTCCACGTGCGTCCAGGGAGATTAGGACACGCACCTTCTCTGAGCGCGGCACGCGATATAAGGGGAGTGCAGTGGTTAGGGTGGAGGGATGCAGGCTTGAGTGAGTGTTTGGAAGGGTGGGTGATTGAGTGAATGAGTAGGTGGGTGGGTGAGTGGGGGAATTAATGAGTGGGTCTTTAAATGAGTCGTTGAGTGAGTGAATGAGCAGTTGCTTGAGTGAGTCGGTAAGTGAATGAGTAGGTGAGTGAATGAGTAGGTGAGTGAATGAGTGGTTGGGTGAGTGGCTTAGTGAAGGACTGGTTGGGTGAGTGGGTGTGTGAGAGTGGAAATCAGGGGTGGAGCGGTTAGCCCTGCACTGCTCTACGAACCAGGCAGAGACCCGAGTTTGATTCCCACTCACGGCCACCAACACCATTGACAGCAGCGAATATCTAAAAAAAACGGCATCTGGGCCTCCTTACCCTAGGTTGAGTCAGCCTCAAATGAGTACCTGGTGCGGTGTGTAATACAAGCAGTCATCGGCTTACGAACACCCGACTTACAAACACTCGTACTTACGAACAGGCCTTCATTAAATATGTATTTATTTTACATTGACTTAAAACGCGACATGGCACTTGAAAATGTAACTGCGGAAATATTTGTTCAGCTGAGCGACCCTCTGCGAGAAGTAATGAGTCAGCCGTCCACTGAGTGTTTGTGAGTGTGACCACGTGTGAGTGTTTGTGAAAGTGAGAGTGTGGGGAGCGGTGGTGTCGTGGTATAGCGGTAAGCGTGCTGCACTACGAAAGCGGCGACCCGAGTTCACTCGTGGCCAACACCAGTGACGATTATCTGAACCGGTTCTAGGCCTCCCTTAGGTCTACTCAGCCTCACATTAGTACCTGGTGCGGTGCTGGCCACCCACCCGCTCGTGTGCCGTGCCCGCCTTCATAGGTGCTTGCTAACAGCACTTGAGTAAGTGGGTGGGTGAGTGATTGAGTCAGTGTTTATGTGGGTGAGCAGGTGAGTGTGCGAGTTAATTAATGAGTATGTGAGTGAGTACCTGTGCAATTGGTTGAGTGAGTTAATTAGTGGGGGAGTGAGTGAGTGAGTGGGTGATTGGCCGGGCGCTGAAGGCAGTAAGCAGCGAGGGTTAGTTGATCACGCACAGATGGATCTAACACAGGGCATCGAGGATGGGCACACGTTTATCAAGAACTGTCGAGTCAGGGTTGAGACTGGATATTCTGATGAAAAGCATTGTGGTCCAGTCGATTCCAGGCTCTGTGTGATATCGTTGTGATGGGTGAACGAATAATTGATCACGAAACCGTGAATTGAAATACCCACGTCTTCAATCATGTCGATCACAGTTACAGCATCAGCGGATGTGAAGCTGTGATCTAGAATATCTAGAGCGACGTTGCAACACTGACATGCTGGTTTAAATTGTGACTGTCGATAATTTCGGCAAGATCACCACAGATGATGTAGCAAGAGCCGAGCGACCCACAGTCTAGCAGGCCGAGTACCCTGGCGTCTACAAACTGAGTTGCCTCTGTGGTAGTAGTTACATTGGAGAAACCAAACGACATGTCTCGGACCGCATCCGTGAGCACAAAACAGACCTGAAACACGGTAGGACCAACACCTTGGCCGTGGCAGATCACTGTTACAATTCAGTAGGCTCACATTACGTTGACTTTTTTAAGACGGAGGTTCTCTGCAAGCCATCCGGCTACCATGAGAGATTCGTCCATTCGATCTTCGCTTCGGGGTGGACTCATTGACAAACTAATTTTTCTTCTCCAGCAGCTGACCCAGCATACCCCCCCCCTCTTTCTCTCTATGTAAGGCCTCGACACAGAGGCATTGGGTCTCTGTGTGTCTATGTTGTGTCTGTGTGTCTCTGTTGTCTCTCTCTCTCTGCTTGTGTGTCTGTCTGTCTCCGTGTCTGTATTTTGTCTCTCTCTCAAATTTAGTTCCACCTGATGACGGTTGCTTGTGTTGCAATCGAAACGTCGTATTCTAGTATTTAATTTATTTTCTTTCTACGTGACTTTACCGAAAGAACCAAAGAGTAATGCTTGTCAATGTCATTGTGAGTGGACGTCAGCCCACAAAGCCACGCAGCCACTTTGCAGTCTCTTCCTCCAGCACTGCAGTGTGCCCGGCACGCCCTGAAGGACTTCACAGCCAGAGACGACGGTGCACCACGCTCTCCTGCTCCCCTCATTCGCACAGCGAGCTGTCACGCAGTAGTACGATGCACCAAAACGTTCGGAAGCAGCACACACCCGCTGGTCACAACGGAAGTGGTTCAACTGAACCCACTGGCGCCTTGGGAAGTCGAGGCCAAGCATCTAGACAGACGGATCACTGATGAGGTCCTTGTTTGGCACATCCACGCATCTCCATTCCTTGTCCCAAACAGTATGGGTTTCCCACATACAAAAGTCTTTGGGTTGTAGTAGCGCCTACACTGGGATTTCAGACACGAGAGGAGGCTTGAAGATGTGGAAGTGAAGGGGGAACTCCGGTGCCGCATGTTGCACCTTGTCCAGCATCTTGACCACTGCAGCTTGGCGGCGAATTTTGAGCGGCGAATATTGCAAAGTGGTGGCAGCATTTTCTGCTGTTATTGTATTGTTCTTGCTGGTGTTGTTGCAGTTGTTGCTGTAGCAGACATAATGACGTCTGTGCAGGAGAATATGGCATCTGTGCAGGACCGCCGTGGCCTGCAACCACATTGGGACTCCGCAAACCTCTCCCCAGCGTGCCTGGCAAGACAATGTTGAATAATCCTTGCCAGGACCTTTCCCGGTACTCTGAGGAGGAAGATGCCTCCGTAGTTGTTACAATCTTGCGGTCCTCCTTCTTAAACAGGACCACCAAGGGCGTCATTCAATTCTGCGGAACCTGTCCAGTGGCCCAAACGGTTCTAATCATGTCCTGGAGGGCAGTCTGCAAACAAATTCCAACCTTCCTCAGCAGTTCACTTAGGAGATCGCCTCTGCCCAGCACTTTTCCAGGTCTCAGACTCTGGATCGCCTTCCATACTTCAACAGATGGCACCTCGGATTACTTCTTACAATATTTTAGGTACTGCAGCCCCAGCAAAGGCCACCCCCACCTTGCCCCACATAAAGACAAAGATCCCCCATACAACCTTAACATACTGTTGGGACAAGTGCTTTTAGCGAGCACCAATGAAGGCCAACACGGCACACGAGGGGTGGCTGGCGACTACCACGCCCGGCCGCCTTTGTCTCCCTAGTGGCGATAATTACACACCACACCAGGTATTCATTTGAGGCCGAGTCGACCTAGGGGAGGCCCCGGACCAGTTCAGATAATCGCCGTCACTGGTTTTGGTGATGTGTTGGCTTTGAGCAGGATTCAAACTCGGGTCCCGCAGCGTGACGTGCTCACCGCTGCGACACCGCTCCGTACAGATATTCCCAGATAAAGGTCCCCCGTATAACCCTCAGACTGAAGGACAAGGGCTGTTGTGGCGAGTCGCATCTGTATGACCTCGCCCTCCTGAATGTGGAAGCCAGTTCAGTGTTTTGTACTGAACCAATGGTTGAAGCAAAGGCTGACCCTGCTGCTGATGGGGCACTCAATGTGGAAACCGGTTTAAAGTTCTCAAGATTTATTTCCCACGTTTACAAAACACGCAAAATACAAACATCCCCCGTGCAGCCTTCATGCACTTTACAGGCAATTGCTGCTAAGTGGACAGCAAGCGCCTACGAAGGGCATGCGTAGCGCATCAAGAGCGGGAGAGACAAGGCCGGCTGTGGGAGCGAGCGAGGGAGCGGGGGAAGTCTCAATGTGTTGAGCACCGCTGTCTATGTTCTGCCAGTGTCTGCCAGCAGACATCAGAATGAGACAGGGCGAGACCTGCAGTGGGGCAGTGGTCACTGTGAGGGGGCGTGGCCACTGAGGGGAGTGGCCACTGGGAAGGGGTGTGGTCACCGTGAGGGGGCGTGGTCACCGTGAGGGGCGTGGTCACCGTGAGGGGGCGTGGTCACCGTGAGGGGGGGGGGGTGGCCACTGGGAAGGAGCGTGGCTACGCCAGTCTTAGCAGAGAAGGGGCGTGGCCACTGGGAAGGGGCGTGGCTACGCCAGTCTTAGCAGAGAAGGGGCGTGGCCACCAACCGCTGGGGAGGGGGGGAACGTGGCTCCCAGCCTCTAGGGGGGGCATGGCCCCCCAGCCTCAGGCCATGGCCCCCCAGCCTCAGGCCATGGCCCCCCAGCCTCAGGCCATGGCCCCCCAGCCTCAGGCCATGGCCCCCCAGCCTCAGGCCATGGCCCCCCAGCCTCAGGCCATGGCCCCCCAGCCTCAGGCCATGGCCCCCCAGCCTCAGGCCATGGCCCCCCAGCCTCAGGCCATGGCCCTGGGATTGATGCCCATGCCGGGCTCGGCGTAGGGGTTGAACCCAGCGGAGCGCAGGAGGCCGTCCATGCTGTTGCGTCCTCGGTGCCAGCCCCGCACGGACACCTCGCGGTGCATCTGGCACGCGGCGCACGGCAAGCAGCAGTGGAGGGTGAGGAGATCGTTACACAGGGAGCCCTGCACACGCAACACACGGATGGACACATGCACAGACAAGCACGGACAGATGGTCACACGGATGGATGGACACATGCTCGGATAGTTACGCGGATGGAGAGATTCGACACATTCGAAGATCGATAAATGAATGGACGCATGTAAATAGATCTTAGTATGAACGTCGCTAAGGGTTACTGACAGAGGCAATGTGTTTCAATTTGTGTGTGTGTGGACACGCACATGGACAGATGGCCAGGTAGATAGAGGGATGGACACAAACAGAGAGGGAGGGATGGACAGAGAGAGGGATGGACACACTGCAATCAGATCCAAGTCGTTTGAAAACCCCGTGTGTGTGTGTAGTGGGGAGCAGTGATGTTGCGGTTAGCTCTTTAAAGACTGCAGAGTGGCTCTTGAAATTCGAATTTTTTTTTAAAAGATGTCTTATTCTTTTGGTTACCGGTGCTTGACTATGTAAAAAATTCAGTTCATCGTGGAAGTCCAGTGCACCACGTGCAGAGGTTGGCAACCTGTGGCTCAGTAAGCACTGTTTCACCACTTTATTTATGAAGGACTACCATCTAGACCAGGGGTCCTCAAACTACGGCCCGCGGGCCACATGCGGCCCGCCAAGGACATTTATCCGGCCTGCCCACCTCCCAGGACTCAGAGGAAGCCAGGGCATGTGGGAGGGGCCAGCTGCGCGGTGACTTGTGGGCAGTGAAAGCCGGAAGCTGGTTCGTGGGAGAGAGAGCGCGGGAGACGTGACAGACTGAGCATCACAGCGCAGCCACAGTCTTTTAGAGCAGAGGCAGCTTGGAGGAAGTTGGCAGCATCATTACCCCCCGAACCGAAGAGGTGAGACAGATGACACCCACATCCCATGGTCACTAATTGGGCTGCGCTTGTGAGCACTAATTGGGCTGCGCAGGTGAGCACTGATTGAGCTGCGGCGTTGGGCACTGATTGAGCTGCGGCGGTGGGCACTCATTGGGCTGCGCTGGTGAATGGTTCAATGGGCCAATTGACTGGACTTGCCCCCCAGGCCTAAGGCTGCCAGCCCACCCCTGGCTGTGCTTGACTGGCTCTCCCTCCCTCAGCTCCCTCACTTGCCCCTCGGCTCCACTCCCAGTGATATTCCTGTGTGCTGGGGATGTAGATCCCCAGCACACGCACCGCTGAGTAAATGATAGAGGGGTAATAACAGAGTGATCACTGCGATCTGTGAACAAAACTGCAGGTGTAATTAACTTTTTAATGGCACCTGCACCAGTGTGAGCCTGGGGTAAAAGCGGAGTTCCCCCAATCAGACTACATTGAGGGGCAGTGCAGTCTGTATGTCTCTGTGTGGGCAAAGTTATTGCTGGTATATTGTTTTTGTAGCACTGTATATATATTGGTATTTTACTAATAGCAATTTTGACTCCCTAGGAAACAACGATGTCAAGAAAGAGAAAAATTGACTCGGAGTGTAGGATATTCAAAGAACAGTGGACTTATGATTACTTTTTCATGCAGTACAAGGAAAGAGCTGTGTGTCTGATATGCCAGAATATAGTGTCTGTGTTCAAAGAATACAATTTACGTCGACACTATGAAACTCAACATAAAGATAAATATGATTGTTTGGTCGGAGAAGTGAGAAAAGATAAAATATTAAAACTGAAAAATACATTAACAACTCAGCAAAATACTTTTGTGAAGCAGAAGCAGCTAAATATTTCATCACTGCGAGCAAGTTTTCAAGTTGCCAAGCTAATAGCGTGCACTGGCAGACCATTCGTGGAGGGAGAATTTGTTAAAGAATGCCTTCTTTCTGTTGCCAAAGAGATGTGTCCAGAGAAGGCCGATTTATTTAGTACAGTGAGTCTTTCAGGACCTACAATTACACGGAGGATTGAAGAAATGGGAGACAATTTGCATCAGCATTTGCAAAACTCCACAAAAAAACTTTCCTATTTTTCCTTGGCACTCGACGAAAGCAATGATGTTCGTGATTCTGCACAACTTCTAATTTTTATTCGTGGGACGAATGACTATTTCGAAGTCACAGAAGAACTTGCTGCACTGCAAAGCATCAAAGGAACAACTACAGGAGAGGATATCTATGAAAAGGTTTGCCAAACTGTGAATGGTTTGGAGCTGAACTGGGCTAAACTAGCCAGTGTGACAACTGATGGTGCTCCTAGCATGGTGGGGTCTAAGAAATGAGTAATTGCTCGCATTAACCAAGAGATGGACAAACATAACCATTCTCATCCAATAGCCATACACTGCCTCATCCACCAACAAGCGCTGTGTAGTAAATCACTGAAGTGGGACTCTGTTATGAAAATTGTGGTATCTTGTGTAGTGACATAAGAAGGGAGGGGCTGCTGTAGGCTCTGGGTTTCCAGGTGGGTCCAGACGCGTAAGCCTCTGGGCGCCAGGCACTGGGTTCCCAGGGGATCCAGACGCTTTTAAGCCTTTGGGCGCCAGGCGTTGGGTTCCCAGGCGCTTAAGCCTTTTTGGCGCCGCCAACGGGGGGGGGGGGCTGTGTGTGCTCTGTGGGATGTCTGGTGGCGCACAAGACCCACCCCTCGTCGGACCAGGCATAAAAGGAGAGCTCCCTGGACGATCGGCCCAGTTGTAACTCAAGACCCAAGACCCACGACCAGCCATCTGAAGACCCTGGGATGCTGTGAGAGCCAGCGCTGGGACTCTGGAACTCCCGACGCTACGACCTTGTGAGGGCGAGTCCAGAGCGTAGCCAGAGTATCTAGGCTGCGTAGCTAGGCTGTGTACCTAGGCTGTAACAGAGTATCAGGACTGTTGGAGTGTTGTATTGTAATAAAGAAGTTACATCTACAAGTGTCTCCGGAACCCATTACACTTGTGTTAACTTCATTAGAGCTCATGCACTAAACCACAGACAATTTCAGGAATTTCTGTCTGAGCTAAATGTTGACTATGAAGATGTTCTGTACCACACAGAAGTCCGTTGGCTGAGTCGAGGGAGAGTTTTGAAACGTTTCTATGACTTACTTCCACAGATTACAGCTTTTCTGCTTTCAAAAAACAAAGAAGTACCAGAGCTCAATGATGCAGAATGGAAATGGCACCTTGCCTTTCTGACAGATGTAACAGAGCTACTCAACAGTTTCAATGTGCAACTTCAAGGAAAGGGGAAGCTCATCTGTGATATGCAATCACACGTCAAAGCATTTGAAGTAAAATTAGGCCTCCTCATCAAACAAGTGAAGGAGGAAAACTTCTGCCATCTCCCCACAACTCAAAATCTGTTAGCGGAAAAACCATTGGTTGCATTCCCAAACAAAACATGTGTGGATTCACTGGAAAAATTGCAAAAGGAGTTCCAATTTAGATTTAAAGAGCTTCATCTCCATGAACAGGACATACAGCTTTTCCGTAACCCATTTTCTATTGACATTGAAAATGTGGATACAATTTACCAAATGGAACTGGCTGAACTGCAGAATTGTGACTCTCTGAAAGACACATTCAAGTCAAGCAGCCTTCATAATTTCTATGCATCTCTCCCCTCTGAGACATATCCTCATCTCAGGAACCATGCACTCAAAATGGCAACCATCTTTGGCAGCACTTATGTCTGTGAACAGACTTTTTCCAGAATGAGACATTTGAAATCTCCAACCAGATCTAGACTAACGGATGCACACTTGCATCACTTGTTACGACTAGCAGTGACAAATATGGAACCGGACATTGACCATCTCATTAGCCAAAAGCAGGCCCATAGTTCCCATTGAAATACTGGCAAGTTTGTTGATTTAACTTTACTTGTTCTTCATTTTAAATATTGTATTTGTTCCCATTTTGTTTCTTCACTTCAAAATAAGATATATGCAGTGTGCATAGGAATTTGTTCATAGTATTTTTTAACTATAGTCCGGCCCTCCAACGGTCTGAAGGACAGTGAACTGGCCCCCTGTTTAAAAAGTTTGAGGACCCCTGATCTAGACGCATTCACCACATTGTATTGCGGCTCTTAAAATTACGGGGTTTTTTTCCCCCGAATTCGAATTCTTGTTGTTTTGGTAGCTGACCCCTGTCCCGTAGGCTGTAGACCTGACTCTGGCCGTGTGTGCTCGCGTGACGTCGCCTACGCTGATGCGGTATCTCTCGCGGATGGACGCCCGCATCGCGTTGGCTGCGACCTGCATCCAGCACGGACACCCCAGCATAGAGCTCTCTCCCATTTTGCTCGCCAGTCCACCGATCAGAGCGCAGGGGCAGAGGCAGCCCAGCAGGCCTGCACGCAGGGACGACAACACGCGCACCGCAAGAGCAATGGTCGATCCACTACTGGATGTAGGAGGATGCCTCCTCAAGCATAGGACACACACACCTATCAAGAGCCGTGGTCAGTCCTAAATATTTAAACTAAACTATTTCACTTTACCAAGTAAAACCCATTGAGATATTATCTCCTTTTCTAAACAACCTGGCCCCATATGATCATTCAACAGTGGCTTATCACGTGGAAATTTCTATCAGCCAAATACTCTAAACTCACCACACAAAGACCCATAGACTCACCACGTGGAGACATACACAGAAAGCCAGAACCACTACACAGAGACTCAGAGACGAAACTAAAAGAAAAAACTGTTTTTTTTCTGAAGCGACCTGGCAACAAACGATAGCTCAACATAGTGATGACATGATACTGATGACTGCTGGTTGCAGTCCGGATGACGTGATTGCTAAGCTCCAGGGTAATTTAAAAAAACTACAACATCATCTAGTTGCTCTTAAACTAGTGCTGAATACATCCAAAACCAAGGTGCTATGCTTCACACCAGGACTAAAGCAGGAAGTTATTTTTCCCCAATTACATTCCCTAAATAATTGTCCAATAGAGCAAGTCAAGATCTATGAGTATCTTGGGGTCATCCTTGATTCAAAACTGAATTTTCAAGATCACACTGATTATATTGGATAAAAGACAAAAATAAATATTGGTTTTCTGTAGACACAAACACTGTTTTCCACCGATGTTTCGTTTGGAATTGATAAACGCTACCATAATGCCTCTACTTGATTACTGTGACATCATATATAAATCAGCACCCAGTATTGTAATGAAAAAGCTTGACTCAAAATATCACTCGGCCTTAAGATTTGCATTGAGCTGCCCATATAGGACCGACCACTGTGATCTCTACATTGGATCAAACTTAACATCTCTCAATGATCGACGGCTTGTGCATCAGATATTATTTATTCCCGATGTACCTACAAGAAAATCCGCAGACTACCTGCTTGATCTCCTCACCGTTTCGAAGAAGAAATGTAACCTAAGATCTTCACTCATTTACCAGCTTCACATTCCTTATTGCCGTACAAATACTGGAGGAAGGGCCTTTGCTATTGATGCCCCCAGGGTCTGGAATGCTATCGCCAATAAACTGCAACTTGGATTACTACCTGTGAGATCATCACTAAAAACTACTCTAGAGGAGTTTTAGAACCCTAGCTGCCACTGCTATCAACTGGCCTGAAATGAAATATATCACAACGGATTACCTCAGCAAAGAATGATCTTGTATTTTGATTATAGTGTGCTGCTTCTCCAACTGATACACGGGCTGTCATGGAGTGACTCACAGAGCCAACGATGGCTGCAAAGTTTGGTAGTACATGTTGTGTATATTGCTATTGTTAAATTTCGATAACAGTTCCTACGATCACTGTAACATTGTTTTTAAAGCATTATTTTAGTGATTTCGAATAAGATTTAATTTAGCCATATTGTTTGTTGTAGTATGGAGTTAGACATTACATTTATCTAAATTGTATTATGATTGTTATTGTTTATCTAGCATCCAACTGGGTGTTTTGGCACACAGCAATAACTAACGGTGCTTTTTCTGGAATAATTTAATGTTTTTTCCTCTATTTCCTCTATTTGCGTGCAGTCAATTTTAAATGTGTCTTGTTAATGTAATTGTTTGTTGCAGTTGCATCCGAATCAAGAGCTGAATGGCTCACAAGGCTATACCAAATAAATGAACTTAATTAAATGAACTGAACTAAATGTATCAGTGTCTGGATGAAACCCACGACCTCCTGCATACCAGGCGAGAAAGATAATATCACCTAGCCACCGTTGCTCAATGGAAGATATCCCCTCCTGAAGCATAGGAAACACACGCACAGTGAAAACCGTGGTCGATCCACTGCTGGAGGGAATGCGTGGACGCTCACAGGAGTAGATGTCCTGGTAGCAGGAGAAGAGACCGCTGGACCAGACTGGCATGGACATCAATGTGACGGCAGTGGGGCCCTGCCCATAGGGAGATGGAGATAGAGGAGATGCCATCAACACCCAACCACTCACACACAACCTTCACTCATACATCACTCAACCACAATCTCCTGGCTGCGCAAAGTGGGGGTTGGCCAGCAGACATCCAGAGCCCCCTTTGGCTGCTGTGGTTGCTATAAACGTAATGAGGAGAAAAGCCAATTGAAATTGTCCTTCCCCCATAGCATTGCTCACTACAACGTTACCGTCCAGTTCCACCGAGGAGGTAGGGGGTTGTTTTTGCTGCACTCACGCCGCCACTCACCGCTCACCCCCCCCCCACTCACCGCTCACTCACCCCCCCCCCCACTCACCACCCCCCCCCACTCACTTGTGCACAATGGGGGGCTGTGACCCCTCCTCCTGGCCCCCAGTCCTGCGCCTGTCTCGGCTGAGTTCTCACCACCGCGTGGGGAGCAGCAGGGCCCCCCATTCCTCCCGCGGGGGGGGCCCCCACTCCTCCGGCGGAGGGGCCCCCCACTCCTCCCGCGGGGGGGGCCCCCACTCCTCCCGTGGGGAGGCCCCCCACTCCTCCGGCGGAGGGGCCCCCGACTCCTCCCGTGGGGAGGCCCTCCACTCCTCCCGCGGGGGGGCCCCCTCTTTCGCTGTAGGGGGGTAGGCCACCCCCCCATTCAGCGCCAAGAGACGCACGGCGAGGGGGCAGGGGTTGGGGGTCGGGGTGAACGGGGTGGGTCAGAGTTTGGGGTTCCATCGTCAGTGAGTGATTGGGTGAGTGGCTTGGTGAGTGAGTGGGACGAGTGGGTGGGAGAGTGGTCGGGTTAGTGGATGGGTGAATGGGTCAGTGAATGGATGGGTGAGTGGGTGGGTTAATAGGTTGGTGGGTGGGTGAATGGGTCAGTAAGTGGATGAGTGGGTGGGTGAATGAGTGAGTGGGTGGGTGAATTGGTGAGCGAGTGGGTGAATTGGTGAGTGAGTGGGTGAATTGGTGAGTGAGTGAGTGGGTGAGTGGGTAAGTGGTGAGTGATTAGGTTAGTGAGATTGAATGGGTGAGTGTGTCAATGTGTGTTTAGAAGGCCATACAGGTTATCTTTGTGTTTATGGGTGAGCGAGTGAGTTACAGAGTGAATGAGCAGGCGAGGGTGCACTGGTGATTGAATGTGAATGGGTGTGTGAATGCGCGAGTATCAATGGGCGAGAGAGTGTGCCTGTGAATGGCTGAGTGAGCAGGTGAGTAGGTGGGTGAGCGAGCGAGTGACGATGCAGGCGAGTGACGACGGCGAGTATGTGTGAAGAGGAGTCCGATTCAACCCAAACCGGTGAAGTCGGGTGGAGATCTGAATCGGTGCGGAGTGCAGGAGTTGGTGGTGACTGCAGCTTCCATCCAGCAGTTGAGAGAGCAGGAGGAGTAGGAGGAGGAGGGCGGAGGGCGAGGAGGAGGTAAAAAAAATAACTTGGAGCGCACTGCGCATGCGCAATCGCCTCCCTTTATTCGTTAATTAATTGGGCGGCCAGCTGGCCAATCAATCGATTACGTGGGCGAGGGGTGGGGGTGAGTGGAGAGGGAGAGGGGTGGTGGGGGAGGGGCGGAGGAGGGGGGAGGTGGGAGTTGGGGTGGAAGTTCTGGGACGCGATGCTGCCGAATCTAGAGTGTGCCACGAAGAGGTGGGGTCTGTCTTCTTGGTTCTTTCGGTAAAGTCACGTAGAAGGGAAGTAATAAAATAATAAAAATAAAACATAATAAAACAATTCTCACGACAATTGGTTCTTTACCCTTCTATCTGGCAACAAAACTGACACCTTTTTGCAAGGAGTCATGTTTGCATAGACCGCAATACCTGCAGTCATAAATACAAACAAAAGACATAACTCGGATAATGTGCACTGTCCTTGAAGTTGATTGGTCCACACCCGAGACAGCTTTCCTTCGAGCCTAGTCTCATATGGGTTGGACCAGATGACGCCAAAAGGCGCACAACTCAAGGACAATGCACCATCAGAGTATGAGAGCTCGGGGCAAGCATCTACACTATGGGGACCTCATTTGCCAGTAAAAATATGATAATTGGTTCTTTACCCTTCTATCTGGCAACAAAACTGACACCTTTTTGCAAGGAGTCATGTTTGCATAGACCGCAATACCTGCAGTCATAAATACAAACAAAAGACATAACTCGGATAATGTGCACTGTCCTTGAAGTTGATTGGTCCACACCCGAGACAGCTTTCCTTCGAGCCTAGTCTCATATGGGTTGGACCAGATGACGCCAAAAGGCGCACAACTCAAGGACAATGCACCATCAGAGTATAATTGTCCTTGAGTTGTGCGCCTTTTGGCGTCATCTGGTCCAACCCATATGAGACTAGGCTCGAAGGAAAGCTGTCTCGGGTGTGGACCAATCAACTTCAAGGACAGTGCACATTATCCGAGTTATGTCTTTTGTTTGTATTTATGACTGCAGGTATTGCGGTCTATGCAAACATGACTCCTTGCAAAAAGGTGTCAGTTTTGTTGCCAGATAGAAGGGTAAAGAACCAATTATCATATTTTTACTGGCAAATGAGGTCCCCATAGTGTAGATGCTTGCCCCGAGCTCTCATACTCTGATGGTGCATTGTCCTTGAGTTGTGCGCCTTTTGGCGTCATCTGGTCCAACCCATATGAGACTAGGCTCGAAGGAAAGCTGTCTCGGGTGTGGACCAATCAACTTCAAGGACAGTGCACATTATCCGAGTTATGTCTTTTGTTTGTATTTATGACTGCAGGTATTGCGGTCTATGCAAACATGACTCCTTGCAAAAAGGTGTCAGTTTTGTTGCCAGATAGAAGGGTAAAGAACCAATTATCATATTTTTACTGGCAAATGAGGTCCCCATAGTGTAGATGCTTGCCCCGAGCTCTCATACTCTGATGGTGCATTGTCCTTGAGTTGTGCGCCTTTTGGCGTCATCTGGTCCAACCCATATGAGACTAGGCTCGAAGGAAAGCTGTCTCGGGTGTGGACCAATCAACTTCAAGGACAGTGCACATTATCCGAGTTATGTCTTTTGTTTGTATTTATGACTGCAGGTATTGCGGTCTATGCAAACATGACTCCTTGCAAAAAGGTGTCAGTTTTGTTGCCAGATAGAAGGGTAAAGAACCAATTATCATATTTTTACTGGCAAATGAGGTCCCCATAGTGTAGATGCTTGCCCCGAGCTCTCATACTCTGATGGTGCATTGTCCTTGAGTTGTGCGCCTTTTGGCGTCATCTGGTCCAACCCATATGAGACTAGGCTCGAAGGAAAGCTGTCTCGGGTGTGGACCAATCAACTTCAAGGACAGTGCACATTATCCGAGTTATGTCTTTTGTTTGTATTTATGACTGCAGGTATTGCGGTCTATGCAAACATGACTCCTTGCAAAAAGGTGTCAGTTTTGTTGCCAGATAGAAGGGTAAAGAACCAATTATCATATTTTTACTGGCAAATGAGGTCCCCATAGTGTAGATGCTTGCCCCGAGCTCTCATACTCTGATGGTGCATTGTCCTTGAGTTGTGCGCCTTTTGGCGTCATCTGGTCCAACCCATATGAGACTAGGCTCGAAGGAAAGCTGTCTCGGGTGTGGACCAATCAACTTCAAGGACAGTGCACATTATCCGAGTTATGTCTTTTGTTTGTATTTATGACTGCAGGTATTGCGGTCTATGCAAACATGACTCCTTGCAAAAAGGTGTCAGTTTTGTTGCCAGATAGAAGGGTAAAGAACCAATTATCATATTTTTACTGGCAAATGAGGTCCCCATAGTGTAAATTCTCACGACGTTTCGGCCACAACGCAAGCAGCCGTCCTCAGGTGAAAACCAGGTCCGTCGAGGCGACAGAGTCTGAATGAAACAGCACACGAGCTTGGAGCATATATAAGCTGGGCGCATTGACAAAGGAATTTGCATATCAAAAGGAATTTAGCATATTTATGGGAAATGCAGGAATGTGATTAGTACTGCATATGCATGTGCATTATGCAGGATTAACAGCATCAAAGGGAGCTGCAGTTACTGCTGCTGCTGCAGTTGCTGGTGCTGCAGTTTCTGCTGCTGCTGCAGTTGCTGCTGCTGCAGTTGCTGCTGCTGCAGTTGCTGCTGCTGCAGTTGCTGCTGCTGCAGTTGCTGCTGCTGCTGCTGCAGTTGCTGCCTTATCCATTTTAATATAACACTATGTATTATTCTACCCACCCTAATGTGTATCACACTGCTATATGTGGGGTCTGACCATCAGCCCCACCAAAACGAAGCATTGATGATGGAGCAGTTGTGGAGAGAGTGGAGAGTTTCCCATACCTGGACAGTGTGCTATTATTATTTGTTATCCAACCCCTCCCCCCATCCACATCGCCCACTCAGCAGCATCATCAGTATCATCAGCAGCAGCATCATCAACAGCATTAACAGCATCAACAGCAGCATTAGCAGCAGCATCAGCAGCATCATCATCAACAGCATCAACAGCATCATCAACAGCAGTATCATCATCAGCAGCATCATCAACAGCATCAACAGCAGCAGCATCATCAACAGCATCATCATCAGCAGCATCATCAACAGCAGTTATATCATACAGCAGCATTAGCAGCATCATCAGCAGCATCATCATCATCGCCAGTATTATGATGAACCTCACGACCAGAGCTGTCCCGCTGGGTTTCCTCGCGTGAACTCAGCCAAGGGTCTCCTTTGCGGCTAAGCTGGGGGCGAGCTTTTGACCCCCATCGCAGGAGAATGCCGAGGGGTCACTGAAGGGAGATTTTGTGATTGTCCACAATTCGCGATCGCTCTGCAGAGCAATGGAAACCAGATTCGTCATCCCTCCCGCCCGATTGCATCCTCAAGCTATCGTCTTCTACCCAACTTCATCAAACCTGTGAACCCCTTATCAGTTCCTTACCTCATTACAGACAAATTCAAACCTTAATGGGCACCCTGTGTCCTTATAAATATCAACGCTCATCCTACAAAGT